AAATAATAGATAAATATAACAATGTAATGATCGGGTGTTTTAAAAAATTTTTAAATTTTTAATTTTTTTACACGATACAGGCCACAGTTATGGACCAATCGTCCCGACATTTTTTGCATGTAGATCCGGTTCTGACCATGGAAACCCCATATTGTTTTTGGTATTATTTAGGGGATCAAATAGACCAATATATTTATTTTTGTCTTTTTTCTGGTTGCTCCAGACCACAATTATGACCCCAACATCACGAAATTTTAAGCATTTAGAATAAGAATGAAAGTTTTGATGAAGATTTGTCAAATAGAAACAGACTTTTGTGTGAAAAATTACAAATTTTGTATTTTATGTTGTATATATTTACTCCTGAAGGGCATAGAACCTAGAATTTGATCGTATATCCAAGAGAAGCGTTTGACATTTAAATTGATGCCAATATCATTGTTCTATATACACGGGTGTAGGAGTTTTATTTAAATACAAGTATCGGCGTATTCAGATATTGTTTAGTATTACCATTAGCACATTAGAGAGAATAACTTTCGAGCTAAGGCCAGGAAATTTTACATGAGGTTCCCCTTATGGTCAAGGACGACATATATATTTCATGGTTATCCAGTCACTCTAGAATGGTTAAAACGATCTGAAAAACTAATTTAAAACGTGTTTGTGTAAAATAACCAAATTTGAATCATAAGGAGTACTTTTTACACCGGAAAATATGACGCGGAGAAGCTGTTGTTGAATCGGTCAAGCGAAAGTAAATATAGCGATATATTGCCAATGCTCGGAATATATGTCCGTCAGCCCCGTCCGACTATACTGTTTCGCCCACTGATTTTTATTTCCTCGATACTATATAATCCCCCTCTCCCCATTAGTATTTCGATGGTCCAAGGTTAATTTTCCAACCAGGTTCTTTGGGCTGAACATATTAGGTTGGGGAAAAATAAATCCATTAGGCCGGTCGTCGAAAATGTCGATAAAATCGGAGAAATGATCGATATAACATCACCCAGGAGCTAAAAATCGACCATAAAACTGTTTTAAACCATTTACAAAAAGAAGCTCTATGTTTGAGTGACACACCAATTAACAGAAACAAATAAGATGGATCGAATTTCCATCTGCGAAAAGGATGGTAACTGGAGATGAAAAATGGATCACATACGATAACCCTGTGCGAAAACGATATTGGTCAAAGAGCGGTGGAACACCTCAAACGGTGGCCAAACCAGGACTAACGGCCAGGAAGGTTCTGCTATGCATTTGGTGGGACTGGCCAAACACTAAATTCTTATCTCTACTGTCAACAACTGGTCCGTTTGAAGTTAGCAATTGACCAGAAACGGGTAGAATTGGCCAACAGAAGAGATGTCGTGTTCCACCAGGACAGCGCACATCTACAGTGACTCCCCAACAGCTTAAGGAGCTTGGTTGGGAAGTTTTAAAACATCTTGCATTATAGAAAGATAAAAAATTGGTACCTAAGGAGAATTGTGAAAATCGACTACTAGAGTTTTTTGCAAATAGAGAACAGAACATCTATGAGAGAGGGATTATGAAGTTACCTTTAAAATTGCAAAAAATCATGTTTGGCCCCAATAGAACATTCCGAAGCATATTAAATAAAGTCCTATTGTTCATATAAAAATAACGGATTTAATTTTCTCCAACCTAATACATTTACAAAACATCGTAAATGCAGTTCTCTCACAGCAGGACCATCAGAAACCCACATAAAATTATCAAAATGTGTGAGAAGACTTTAAAAATAATTTGTTCTTCATTTCACACAATTCTCATAATTATTTATACACGTTTTGTCTATTTTGTTTCTATTTGCATTATTAATCATTTGACGTAACTTTTAAAGTTTATTCACACACACCGAGAGTATTAGTCATCGTCCAAAGCTTCGTATAAACTTTAAAAAATTAACAAAACGAAACAAACGGTATGGGAAACTAGTTTATTTCTGGCGAACAATGGTTTTTGGGATTTAAGACATTTTATGGTAAACCTGTTTGATGAACTAATGTTCAAAATGCAAACTATCGATTAGAATGGTTAAGAAGTTTACGAATATATTAACTAAAATAAAATCTATTCAATGTCATGGGGGAATTGACTTCAAACTTGAACGCAGCTAAGCAAAACATTGGTGGATTTGTTTAAACACTGGGGGATTTTGAAAGCTTTACCTATTGTTCAAGTTGGCAAATGTTATTTAAAAATGAAGGCTTTTAATGGCAACATTTTCCTTTTTATTTTCCTTGTCCTATATCTTACAAAACCTATCCTTTAATCCCACAATGGCTAATAAGCCATAATATACAAACTCAGTTGTTCGTTCCTACCTCTGTAAATCTCTGATAAATCTTTAAAATGATAATTTTTTATTTCATACGGATTCCACGAAAACAAATATTTATTAATCTTTCAAATAGAGACTTAGGATGTTCAACTGCACTCATTACAAAATAATGATGTTTTGTCATAATATAATTTATTCCGATTCCCCGATTTGTTTGAAATGCACAACTTATCATATATTTCTTGTAGCTAATCTAAATTTTAATCACCTTAATCTATAATCCAAAGTGTAATTTTCATTGTTATGCATAAAATATGCATACCCACACACACTCAAACAGTTTCCTATAACCATGCTGCTCATATGTCACAGTGCCCCTACACAGTTGACATATGGATAATCTGCACGTTTCATATCCACATGCCACCACGATGAACAGGCAAAGATATGTCTTTAATTTTATTTAAATGAAATATTCAATTTCCATAAGGCAGCACCGCAACAATGCCAACAACGGCAGCAGAGAAATGCGAAAATTTCAATTGCAATTTGCCCGGTCAGGTTTGGACATTCAATTCAATCGCGGTGCGATTTAGAAGTCATATCTCATGTTTTCAACTTGGATTGATGTCATTTTTATGTCGGTTATTTCGATTTTGTCTGTCGTGTCGTTTTTTCAGTTTTGTAGTTTAGCTAAACAAACAATTTTCAGCATCAGCTTCAGCCCACTCATGACAATTGAAATGCCATTGCTGCTGATCATCAAATTTAACGAGTGTGGATTTGAATTTTTTTTCGGAATGTAAAGTTGACGGTTGTTGGGTCATATTTATCTACAGTCCCCTACTGAAAACCAAATACACCCAAAATTCGGGAGGTACAATGACATTGGAGTTATGTTAAAAATGGCATAGCACTATGAATAATACGAGATGTTCTTCTTATTTATAAAATTCACCTATATACTGAAAAACGCCTTCGGGTTTTTATGTAGGAAGTCACCTAAAGTTAATCTTTATTATATTTTGTATACCCTTCACTACACTGTGGTACAGGGTATTGTGTCTTTGGGCAAATGCTTGTAACAGGAAAAATTAAACGAGATAGACCCATGTTTCCTTTTGAGAATATGCATACAATCACTTTCTGAGTCGATGTTAAATTGTTAATCCGATTTGGACGAAATTTAGTACGACTTATTTATTTGGCCCAAGGTAGACCTTTTGATATTGCATAAAATCGGTTCAAATTTAGATATAGCTCTCATCCATATTTTCGTCCGACTTTATGTAAATGTTGAACCAAAGGCACAACATTACTTTCGATGTACACGAAATTTTGCATGGCATACTGATGTGTGCTCAGTTTCGTGCAAATCGGGTCAGATTTAGATATAGCTCCGATATATATTTTCGACCGATTTCATGTGAATGGTGCACCAAAGCCCCTATATTACATTCGATTTGCACAAAAATTAGCACTGCGTTCTGAACTGAGTCTAGAATGATGTATGTTAAGTTTCCTAAAAATCGGTTCAGATTTAGATATAGCTCCCATATATATTTTCGCCCGATTTAATGTAAGTGGCGTTCCAAAGTCCCTATATATTTTCCCATATGCACGAAATTTTGCATAGTGTACTGACTTAAGTCTAAAATGATGTGTGTTAAGTTTTTATGAAAATCCGTTCAGATTTAGATATAGCTACCATATATATTTTCGAAGGATTCGATGTAAATGGAGCACCAAAGTCCCTATATATCTTCAGATTGGCGCGAGATTTGGATTAGCGTACTAAATTATGTCTAGATATGGCTCCCATATATATTTTCATTCGATTCAATATAAGATGCGCACCAAATACCCAAAGTGTGTCCGATTGGCAAACAATTTTGTACAAAGTACTGAAATTAATATAAATTAATCTCTGGCAAGTTTCTTTGAAATCGGTTCAGATATATATATATATATATATATATATATATTCCGACTTTACTACTTCCCTTACTGTTAATTTTTTTTAATTCCTTCAAAACTTCTCCACCCACCCTCGCATAATGAAGCAATAAACAAACATTTGTGGTGGAATTTCATTCTCTACGATTATTGTTCAAATTTATTACTTGTAATAATTGAAATCATTTTTTCCGCGGCATTCTAACTGACTGACAGGCAGACAGACAGGCTATCTGCCTTCACTTGACGCTATAAGTTATTCCTTAGAGAATATGTTTGGTTGAATGTGTGAATTTGTCATTGAACACAAAAATGCCATTTTTGGGATTCGGCAAATTCGGATTGGTGAAACAACGTTGACGCCACAACAGCTGCAAATGATTTTTGTTTAGTTTACATTTTAGTTGTTGTTGTTTTTCGAAAAAAAAATTATGAATGGGAAACTGAAGCAAATGTTAGTGGTCTATTCCAAGAAAACCAAAAAATATTGGCTGGGATGTTAATTTTCATGCTAATACATGGGAAAATCAAATACAAATTTTTGATAGAAATTCTTTGAAGAGGGGGGATTTGAATATTTATTATATAAATAAATATAAAAAATTGATGTTTGTTGTGGCAGGTTCTCAATGGAATTGTGCGTCAAATGATTTGTAGTGTTCATAACTGTATAAACTCTACAATATATTCCCACATTACAATTAAATATTTTTTTTTTTGTTTTTTTTAGAATGGTCGACTTTAAAGTTCAACAACGACGCTATCGCAGCAAAGAGAAGACAATTGTTTCAACAATTTATGGGCCAGTAAAAGGAGTTAAACGCAAATCGATTTATGGCGATGCCTACTTCTCCTTTGAGAAAATTCCCTTTGCCAAACCTCCATTGGGTGAGTTGCGTTATAAGGCACCACAGCCCCCAGAGCCCTGGACAGAGGTGCGAAGCTGTACATCGACAGGACCCAAGCCATTGCAAAAACATTTTGTGTTTCAAATGACAGATGGTTCGGAAGATTGTCTCTATCTGAATGTGTACACCAAAAATGTAAGTCCAAAATAATTATTTTGAATAGAGTGAACAAAAAATCTCATCAATTTTATTTCTATTCCCAGCTGGATCCCATAAAACCCATGCCAGTCATGGTTTGGATCTACGGTGGCGGTTTTCAATTTGGCGAGGCCTCCCGTGATCTCTACAGTCCAGACTATTTGCTACGCGAAGATGTGGTTATTATATCCATAACCTACAGAGTTGGTCCCTTCGGATTCCTCTGCATGCAAGACCCTGATTTTGATGTACCCGGCAATGCTGGTCTCAAAGATCAAGTAATGGCTTTGCGTTGGGTCAAGGCCAATTGTTTACGTTTCGGTGGTGATCCCAATAACATAACCTTATTTGGTGATAGTGCTGGTGGTGCTTCCGTCCACTACATGATGTTAACAGAACAGACACGGGGTCTCTTCCACAAGGCCATTTGTATGTCGGGCACTGTTTTATCTCCCTGGGCCCAAACACCACAAAGAAATTGGCCATATCGCTTGGCTGTGGCCGCCGGCTATACAGGAGAAAATAACGAGAAAGATGTCTTTGAATTTCTAAAAAATGCCAAAGGTTCTGATATTGTCAAGGCCAATGAAGATCTCTGTACGGATGATGAAAAACGCGAACGTATTGGTTTCTCATTTGGTCCTGTGGTGGAACCCTACATAACGGAACATTGTGTGGTGCCCACAAAGCCCATTGAAATGATGCGTAATGCCTGGAGTAATAATATACCCATGATTATTGGTGGTGTCTCAAATGAGGGTTTACTACTGTATTCCGGTAAGTAGCAATGAAGTGGGAGAGAGATATATTAATGTTTGAAAAATTTTTATAAATCATTTGTTGTTTCTTTTAGATACCAAAAATAAACCCAAATTGTTGAATGAATTAAATGATTGCCGTTATGTGGTGCCCTTGGAATTGAATATGGATCGTGATAGTGAACTGTGCAAGGAATATGGTTATCAATTACGTACAACTTATTATGGTGATAATTTCCCCAGCATTGAAACACTTAATGAATATTTATTGGTAAGTATAAAAAAGAATAATTTTGATGATTACAAATTTCAAAATATGTTTGTCAGTCAAATCCCAGAGAGTTCTCTTTTCCAAAACTGAAGACATTAAAAACTCTCAGTTAACCTCTATTGAATCTGCGAAATATTGAAGAGCCCTAATTTTGCATTTGAAATATATTTTAGAAGTTGTCAGTATATATTATCTCTTATATCTATTCCTTTGATGGCCTTCGAACTAAACCTGTTTTCTGCCTCGAAATATCCTCATACCAAATTTCACACAACAATATCCTTCAAACACAAATCTGAAACCCATTTTTTATACCGTAAAAAATGGTGCCGTCAATGGTTTTCGAATAAAATGAATTTTCAATTTTTTTTATACCTTTCATTTTTTTAAACCTTTCATTATTCACCTATTACATATTGCATTACATTATTATAGTCAACATACACTCTATCAACCCGTACCCACCAATACCAAGGTTAACATTTATGGTATTTTTCATCCATATTGTCCCAACATTTACGGGTCCCAGTTATCATTTTCTAACTATTTTCTAGATTCTACAAAACTAGTTTATTCTTAGATTGAGGATATTAAAATTGAACTATCCCTCTAATACCTCGAGATATTTGTTTCTTTTCCTTTCAGATGGTATCCCACGAATACTTTTGGTTTCCCATTTATCGTACGATTTTATCCCGCATGGAATATGCCAAAGCTCCCACCTATTTATATCGATTCGATTTCGATTCGAAACATTTCAATCATTTGCGAATTATCAGTTGTGGCAAAAAGGTGCGCGGCACCTGTCACGGCGATGACCTCTCCTATTTGTTCTACAACTCGGTAGCGCGTAAACTTAAAAAACACACTAAAGAGTACAAATGCATCGAACGTTTGGTTGGCATGTGGACCCATTTTGCTGCCAATGGTGATCCAAATTATGATCCAGAGCATCCAGATATATGGAAGCCCGTGTCGGAGGCAGCTGTGGAAAAACGCCAATTACAGTGCCTTAATATAACGGATGAATTGAAGGTTATCGATGTGCCCGATATTAAAAAGTTAATGGTATGGGAAAGTTTTTATACCCGCAACGAATTGCTATGAAGCTTTTTGTAAAAAAATAAGGGCGCATCACACGCACACATTTTTTGGTAAAATTATATTTGTTTTCCTGTCAGCATGGTTGAATAATTTTCGTTCAGCCAAAAAGAAACATGGAAACAACAACAAAAGCTTCAGAGTCATTAGTTTTGTATTGTTAAGGGAATGTTATAAGCTCCATGCGTATAGTTAAACATATAAGCTTTAAAAGCTTTCTAAGGAGCCTAATTTTTGTTTGGCATATAGGGTGATTATTGTAGAGTATTCGCTTAGCTAGCTTTAAACAAAAACAAATACTTAGGGCTACATAGCCACAGCCTTCCCTTGAACTGTTCATCCCTTTTGTTAGAAAACCTAAAAGTGAATGACAACTGTTTTCATTTGTTTTAAGTTAGTTTTTAAAACTTTTAATTAAATAATAGTTTTTTTTTATTTTTTGATAGTAAGAACCTTGTGTTTCTTTTGACAACAAATTTTGTTTTATTTATTTACATTGTTTGCCCAGTGTTTTATATGGAAAAGCCAGGTTTTTATTGAGTTGAGATAGGGCTTTACATTTCAAAGCTTTATCCAAGAGTTTATTTTTTATTTTAATTCCAAAGTTTATGCTTTTAGTCTAGACTAGCAAAGTTAGTGCATAAGTTTTGTGACAAGTCTCGTTTGTGATTTATGATTAAATTAAGCCCAACAAAAAGGAAAAAAAAACAAAAGAAAAGCTTTCTGGTTATATACTAACCACAAAACTATATCCAGTTAAAGGATTAAAAGTTACTACTCTAACTTGTAAGCATAGCATAGAAATGAGATTCAAGAAAAAAAAACAAACATTTTATTCATTACTAAAATTATGAAACAGAAAAACAGAAAAGTAAAGAAAGAAGAAGACGCAACATAAGTACCTTTCGAAGAAGAAGAAAATGATGATGAAAAATAAAAACTTTGAAACGAACGCACAAACACGTCGTTTCACACAAACAAAACCTCATTAAAATGACATTTGGTGATGATAAATGCGATACGACAAAGAAAGATATATCTTAAAATTATAGATCTACAATTTAGCATAAGTTACATATCTCTTCCGTTCCTACAAATTCCAATAGTTTAGTTAAGTTTTTAATTTTGGTAATTATTTTGTTTTAATTGGAAGAATAACAAAAAAATCTATTTGCAAAATGTTTTGGTATGGCGAACGAAATATCCTTAACTTCAAACCGGTTTTTATGGCTTTTTATTTATTTACAATATCTTAAGAAAGTAAGGAGGTTATTTACTCGTCATACTAAAACATTTTCTTTTTTTTAATTTATAATTTATTTATTTAAATAATTGGTTTCTACAATTACACGAAAATTGTTAACCTCTTGTTAAACTATTCATTGACTAGTCTTTAAGATAAAAACTTAAATTACAAAACAAACAAAAAATGAAATAGACCTCCAAAACAAAAGAAAACCGAAATAAAGTACCCTCCGTATTGAAAATAAAAACCAAAAAAAAAAAAACTCAATTAATAAGAAACAAATTTTATATATCAAAAATATATTTTATGTGTATAAGTCCAATAGTAATATTTAAAATAATCAACATTATTTTGCTTGTAATCGAATAACAAATTGGCTATTTTAACCATTAAGAAATAATAAAAAAAAAAAAAACAAAATATTGTCCAACATAAAGAAAATTATTCATATTCACACCAAAGGAAAATTGCAGTTTATTGTGCACCAACCATGATGACTCTATCTTATTGTGACAAAAAAAGGAAAACCAGAAATAATGGAAAATTTATTGGAAATCGAAAGCCAAACCTAATTAACAAATTGTGTATTACAAGTTTTTTTCTTGGCAAAACAAACAAATAGACAGTATGTAATATTATTATTATGAAATCAATAAAAACGAAAAGGAATTTTTGAAAATCACAATGATACGCCTTTGTTTTATTTTCGATTGGGGATGTAGGTAGGATGATTAGATTTATAGCATTTTTTACGTACAATCCTACAATAACAAGGAACAAATCGTAAAAGCGTGTTATCAAATAATCCTGTATGATTATTCATAACATGACGTTTTTTTATTTTTTTTTCTCAGCTGTTTTTTATTACTATTATTTGAAATATCTAAAAGTAATCAATAATGACTTGGCATTTGTGGACTTTAATCACATTACTCAATCACAAAAGTACATTAGCAACAAGAAACAATAATACTATCCAAAATGTTGTGAATTTCTGTGAAGTGTCCAAGTCTCCGTCTTTCATTTAGTACCTTATCAAAAACAAACTCTCCAACGTCAAGACAGTCAATTAGATTTTTTTTTTAAACAAATCAAAATAACATAGTTTTAAGTGCTTATGTTTATATATTTAGGTTGTTAAAAAAAAAACTATAAAATAAAAATGAAACACTCACTCATTTCAATCATATCTACATCGTCCAGTCATATGTTCCTATGTAAAACATTTGTTCTAATCGGTCATTTCTGTGTAGTTTATATTCAGATAGAGAGACCATTGTGCTACCTTGGTCGTTGACAGATAAGGAGAGGAATTTTTATTTTAATTACAATCGTGTTAAAAAATCAGAGGTCGTTGCTTTCAAATCTTTTAACATTAGCCGATGTTTATTGGATTTTCATCTCTCTTTTTATAACTTATCTTCGAAGAAAGTCGATGGGCCCACATATTATCTCAACCTTTGAAGTGATCATTTAACACCTAAATGTTGATAATCTATCTATTTGCAAGACAGTTTTTTTTTCTATCATTAGATGTCTAAATGGTGGTGGCCTACCACACCTCTCCTGTTGGCCAATTCTGGCAATTTCTGCTCAATTGTAAATGGTTTAAAGCAGTTTAGTGGGCGATTTTTAGCTCCTGGGCGATGTTACGACTGCTAACATGTCAGTCTACTTCGATAATTTCTCCGATTTTATCGACATTTTTGACGACAAAATCGATGTTGAAGATGCACCTCGCACAGGAAGGCATGTGCAAGGTGTATTTTTAACATCAAGAATTCCTGAACGGAATCTACGAAATCTGAAATTGTTTGATCGATACTTGGCGAGAAATCTATCAGTACAGCCATCTGCCAAAAAATAATGGTGTTCTTTTTCCCCAATCTAATATATAGTTTGTTTGGAACTCACAATAAAATTAGATATTAGGCATGAAAAATTAAGTTTCATTTTACTTTCATAAAATTGGTGGAAAAAAGTACTGGGAAATCTTTATGAAACATGTTATATTTAACCCTTTCAGAGTCAAAAAAAATTTTTGTCGGAATAAAAATCTAAAATTTTGTACTTAAAATCTTATAAAGGCATATAGTTTAGAAGAAAAAGCTATTTTCATTTTAACCCTCGGACAGTTTCGTCTGTTTTTCAGCAAAAACAAAAACATCAATGTTAACGGTACATAGGATAACCGAAAAATCGCAAAGAAAGACAGAATTTTTAAATGTCGAATATATTCGACAAAAACACTGAAAGGGTTAAAGGTTTCGATTTGATTTGTTTCAAAAATATTGTTAAGTGGTATAATTTTTTTTTTTATTTTATTTTTTTTTTGATTTTTGCCCTTAGACATGATAAACATCATTTTTTAAACTTCTCTAGAAAACTAGGTTTTGTATCAGAAGCTAAAATGGACTTAAACCTCATTCAAAATAAAGGAATCATATGTTTCATGCAAATTATGGACCAAAGTCTCTAAGTCTGTCTAATTGACTTGAAACATATTTACTTAATTGCAACTATATGCAAATTCCTTTTTATTAATAAATAAAATAGCCGACTACAAAGTCTATCGTTGTTTTAATTTTTCTAATACCACATTTTAGTCCAAATTTTCACTGATCGTTTATTTGATTCTGTTTTTTAAAAACACTAAATATTTCGAATATGTTATTAACATTCGGTATCTAAGCTTTGTTAGGCTGTTAACTAAAAGTTCGAACATAACATTAACATTAACAATAACAGTTGTCCTCAGTCTGGTGATCGCACAGCACAAACAGCTGACTAGCTGTGACTGTTAAATAACATTTGTTGTTTTCTGTTATTAAATAAAAGAGAGCGTATTGAATTCGAAAAACACTTCCTCATTTTCGGCATAGTCTTCGCATAACATTGAAAGCGTGCGGAACAAGTAGACGGAACGTGGCCCATCCAAAAGAAACCTCGAGCAAAATATCATCCAAATTAATAATTATTGATTGTGCAACAACAAACAAAAGAAATAAACTTCGTACTGTGTCTCGGTGTTGGTGTGTGTGTGTGTGTGTATGTCCGACGTATATTTATCAACAATTGTTTTGTGTTTAGAATCGAAGAAGCCACATTTTCTGTTTACGGAATTGCAAGTGTCATTAATGCCGAATAGCCGAATTGAACAAATGTCAAAATTTGTGCATTGACGCAAAATAAAACGTGAATTGTTTTTGTGAAGAAACCCAGTAGTTTTTTTCTTTTGGTATTTTGCCATTCACTAAATGATTAATGATTTTTGGTGTTTAATAAAAAAATGTATGTTTATTTTTTTTAGTGGACCGCAAACGAAAGAGAGTTACTGTGTGTGTGTGCTCATCGGTCGTGTGACGAAATATTTGTTGTTTTAACTTTTGTTTATGTTTACCTTTAGTGTTGTATAGTGTAAGTTGACGTTGTTGTTTTTTGCTGTTAGTGGTGTGATTACTACAGCTTATAAACCAATCGAAATTTTATATTGCTGTAATATTGATATAACCGGCAAATCCGCTCATCCATTCAAAAGAACTGTCGGAACAAGTTTTAGTTTTTGTGTTGTTTTTGTGTGCTATAGCTTTTGTTGTCTCATCCAAACTAAAAACCCATCAAACCGGAGTGAAGCTACAACGTGAAATTACAACAATAACAACATGAGCCACATATCGCTATGGGATATAGTGAAATTTACAGTAAAGTGAGTATCAGCTGTTTTTTTTTTTTCATTTTTATTTTTTTGAATGGGAGTGTTGGTAGAGAAGATTACATGCAAGGGTTCTAAATGAAAAGATAAATAGAACAAGTGTGAAATAAACAACAATGTTATGTCCGCATCGAACGTTGTTATTGCCTGCACTATATTTAGCGTATTCATGCGGATGGGGATTTAAAATATGAGGCTGATATTTATGTTCTAAAGCTAATGGTATTTATTTATTTAGAAAAAATTACAAGAAGTTATCCAATTTTAGAAGATCCGCCAGAGGTCTTCTATAGTACACTAATATCTGTTGAAGCCCTATAGAAAGAATGTCATAAACATTTTTGATAAGAATTTTATATTTTTTGTAGCAATTACTTCAAATGCTTTAATTTGATACTCATTTTGTCTTAGTAAATTTACCAACAATAATTTTGCTGCTTTCTCCCTACGATCGTTTTGATCCTTGGGGTACAATTATATTTTTTTAAAATGCTGTACAATTTTCAATATCGGAGATATTTGGATCAAATTTTGAGGAATCATTCTTGAGGTATTTTTATACATAATTGAAAAAAATATTAATGTTTTCCATATATAGGTATGTATAATTTTTATAAATTTTTAAAGTTAATACACACATATCTTGCATTAATTTTGTACTCAACTGCAACATATGTAGTGTATTAGGACTATTTTTTTGTTCAAATTATTAACCTGAAAAAAAAAAAAAATATATATTAGAATTCTCATGTTCATCAAATGTACACTTCTACACACAATTAAAGTATAAATTTACAGGGACAGTGACAATTTCTTTTTTAGGAGTTCCCCAACCCTGGACAACATGGAGCCATCAGGGCGACGCGTAGAATTCCGCAACCACCTTGGCTTTCCTTTGGCTTACGAATTAAATATTTGGATGGAACTTTTGTACCATGGTTATTGATCTATAATTATATTTTTTGTTTATTGGCCATAGGGTTAGAAATAATTTTATTTACATATCGGTATATAACACTGTATTCCTACTGAACAAAAAATAAGTTATGGCCTATAAACATTTATAATCCATCATCCATTTGTTTCCAGAAAATTTTCCAAATACACAATTTTTAAATCGCCACTATCCCAACTAAATACAAAAGATAGTGTTGTGCTTTATAAAAAATGCCGGTAACCCAACCACTATGCACATTGACGAACGTTGTTGTTGTACCCACAGATTGGTGTAGATAACATTTTGTTTTTTTTTTACTTTTCTTTCATTATTTTTCACCGCTTTGTTTTTATCTTTGAGTTTATTTAATTTTATTTGTTTTGTAATACGGAATATGGATACATGCGAAGAAAAAAATGTTGTATATAAGTTTATCATATGTGGCTTACTGACAGACTGACTCGCTGGCTGACAGACTGACTCGCTGTGTGTTCGTATGGCTCTGTTGAATGGGTAACTCTTTTGCCAATTTTGGTTTTGCAATGATGTCGCAAATAAGTGTGACTGGATTTTGTGGTAGTGATGATGGAGGCAATTGCTGTTGTGGCGGCGATTGTCCGTCGATTGTTCGGTTGTCTGGTTGCATTTGGTACACTCACTTGTACGCTTACTCACTCGCACGCACACTCACTCCCCAATTGGTGGAGTAGTTAAGTGGCCAGTGTATAATTTAGTGGTGAAATAAATAGGTGAACAGGTTTAAATATCCAGGCCTTTTCTGATCGGTGCAAATGTGTTGCAGTAGATCTGGTTGTGGGTTTCCCAATGAATGCAAAAAAATTCTTGCAAGTCATTCGAGAAAATAAAAAAACAAACAAGTTATATTACGCTAACAAAAAATGGAAATTTCCGTTGCTTATATGAACTATTGATATTACTATAAAGGTTTTATTAGGACAGTGAAACCTTTTATTTATGGATAGTTATAAATAAAAACTAATTTTAAAGAATTTTTTTAATCCTTTTAATGACAGTGCACACTTTTGAAATAGACAATCATACTATAATATTTACATCAATAACAAATTAATTAGTACAAACAACAAAATTAGAAGGCACGTTTTTACAATTAACTGTCAGTTTTAAAACAGGTTAGCCTAGGTTTTCATTATTATTCGTATTTTACACAATTTATGGTATAAATTCTAGGGACTTTTTATTATAAATAAACATATACTCATATACAAAAAATTAATATATTTCATTTTCGGGAGCTGACAACATATAATTATATTTTATAATTAAATACTTTTTTCGGAAGGTTATAATTTTGAACGAACAAATGAAAATATCAATTGAAATCGAAAATGTCCAAAAGTTGAATGTAAAGGTTTTATTAACAGGTTTCTTCGATTATATATACCTCAAGCATCGGAACATCATGCCAATGTCCATCACCAACTAGAGGTCCAAAGTAAAACTTAATCTCACGTAATATTTGTTTGAGGCATACAAAATCCCAAACCAATTCCCATTTCTTCATGTTTATTTATACAAAACATACATTTCAACGAATATAAAACCCAAGGTCATGCATTAAAATGTAAATGTGTGGTTTTGGAAAATGTAAATTAGTTTAATTTAGAGGAAACGATAAAATTCAGAAATTGGGACAGTTCATTTAAAAAACTTTAAGATGCAATGCGATAAAATAAAATAGTAGTAATTTTTTGCGAACTTTCCGTAAAAAAATTGTGTTAAACTGTTAGCGTAGAATAAAAATCAGTTGATGTACATACCATATCGAGGACAATACAAACATGGAAGGCAAATGAATACATATAATTTCGTTGTTAGAAAAAAATGCATATTTACATTAAAAAACTGTTTAGTATTTAATAATGGTTTATTTCTTGATTTGACGAATTGCTCACCACTAAAATGGCAGTGCCAATTGAAATGGAAAATTTGGGTAAAAATTAAAAAAAAATAATAAGAAATAATAACAAGTAAAAACCAGTAAGGAATGTAGTAAAGTCGGGCTGGGCCGACTATATGATAACCTTCACAACATTGGGTATATTTAGAAGATGCATCCTAACAGCCGTCACATTGAAGGACTTTTGACATGAAATTTAATTAAATTAAATATGAGATCTGTATTTATATGTGAACCGACTAACTTCAATCCATAAACATGTTTTTCTGCAACCTATGCTAAATTTCAATATTTAATTCCAATCAGACACCCGTTCGAAATATATATGGTCTGCTTCTGCACCAATTTCAACAAAACTCAATAACGCCATTCTAGCCTCAATTTGATATGTTATGCAAAAATTTCGTGTCAATTGGGCAAACATTGGGAGTTTGGTGCACCACTTGCCTAAAATTAGACGAATATATATATATATATATCTAAATTTGAACGGATTTTACCGAAATTTGCCAGAGATTTAATTTTATTAGCTTCAGTACATTGTAAAAAAATTGTGCCAATTGGACAAACTTTGGGTCTTAAGTTCATAACATACATAAAATCGGAAGAAATTATATATGGGAGCTGTATCTAAATTTGAACCGATTTTCAGGAAACTTAACCACACATCATTCTAGACTTAATTCAGTACGCTATGCCAAATTTCGTGCAAATCGATAGAGATATATGGACTTTGGTGCACCATTTACATTAAATTGGACGAAAATGTATATGGAAGCTATATCTATATCTGAACCGTTTTTTTTTTCAATCTCAATAGGGTTCATACTTGGGCCAAATAAATGATCTGTGCCAAATTTCGTCCAATTCGAATCATAAATACGACCTTTACTTTGTTTACAAGTTAACATGGACAGACGGACGGACATGCATAAATCGGCTCGTTTCCTTTTGTCTGTTACAAACATATGCACAAAGACATAGTACCCTTTACAACAGTGTGGTGAAGGGTATAAAAGATGTTAAGTTCGGCCCGGCCAAACTTTTTATACCCTCCACCATGAGGATGACAATCAAAATATCTAAAATTAATGGGGGCTCCTAGGAGAAAACACATGTTGCGATAGGAACTTAAACATACCAAAAAATACTTGAGGAAAAGATGATTGAAATTCTCAACATATCTAATATATGGGGCAATAATAAAACGGAGATCAATATTGATATTTCATGGTAGTGAGATTTCACAGTCAATGAGAATACAAAATACCACTTTACGCCAATTCGGTTGAAAAGCGTGTCGAAAATTCTCAAAATGTGGGATGTGGTGATACTTTTATTATAACCCAAAATACCAAATTACAAAAAATTTAACCAGTAAGGAAAGTAGTAAAGTCGGACGGGGCCGACTATATGATACCCTTCACCACTATGGGCATATTAAACAGGACTATTAATATGAAATTGGATGAAATAAAATATGTGATATTTGTTTAAATGTGAATCTACCTAGATCTATCCATAAATATGTCATGCGTTTGTTGCAATGGGACGAAAGTATGCAAATCGACTTCAAACAAATATAAATAGGTCATCCGTTGGGTTATGTCTGCACTTCTAGAAAACGCAACTACGTAATTCTATGCTCAATTACTGAAATTCAATCTATAATAAAAGGGAGCTATATCTGAATCTCAACTGATTTTCACGAAACTTGACACACATCTTTCTGGACTAAATTTACATTAAATCGGACGAAAATATAAATGGGAGCTATATCTAAACTTTGACCGATTTTCAGGAACCTTGACCGACATCACTCTAGGCTCAATTCAGTACGTTATGCCAAATTTCGTGCCAATCGAAAGATATATAAGGACTTTGGTGCACCATTTATATGAAATCGGACGAAACTATATGTGGGAGCTATATCTTAATCTGGACCGATTTTCACGAAACTTGGCAGACATCACTCTAGGCTCAATTCAGTACGTTTTGGCAAATTTCATGCAAATCGAAAGATATATAGGGACTTTGGTGCTCAATTTACATTAAATCGGACGAAACTATATATGGGAGCTATATCTAAATCTGGACCGATTTTCACGAAAATTGGCAGACATCACCCTAGGCTCAATTCAGTACGTTTTGCCAAATTTCGTGCACATCGAAAGATTTAAAGGGACTTTGGTGCACCATTTACCTTAAATCGGACGAAACTATATGTGGGAGCTATATCTTAATCTGGACCGATTTTCTCGAAACTTGGCACACTTCATTCGAGACTCAATTCAGTACTTTATGCCAAATTTCGTGCAAATCGAAAGATATATAGGGATTTTGGTGCACCATTTACATGAAATCGGACGAAACTATATATGGGAGCTATATGTAAATCTGGACCGATTTTCACGAAATTTGGCAGACATCACTCCAGGCCCAATTCAGTACTTTATACCAAATTTATACCAAATTTCAAATCGAAAGATATATAGGGACTTTGGTGCTCAATTTACATGAAATCGGACGAAACTATATATGGGAGCTATATCTAAATCTGGACCGATTTTCAGGAAACTTGGCAGACATCACTCTAGGCCCAATTCAGTACGATATGCTAAATTTCGTGCAAATCGAAAGATATATAGGGACTTTGGTGCACCATTTACATGAAATCGGACGAAACTATATATGGGAGCTATATCTAAATATGGACCGATTTTCACGAAACTTGGCAGACATCATTCTAGGCCCAATTCAGTAGGTTATACCAAATTTCGTGCAAATCGAAAGATATATAGGGACTTTGGTACTCCATTTACATTAAATCGGACGAAAATATATATGGGAGCTATATCTAAATCTGAACCGATTTTTCCCAATTTCAATAGGGTTCGTCCTTGGGCCAAACAAATGAGCTGTGCCAAATTTCATCCAATTTGGACCATAAATGCGATCTGTACTTTGCTCACAAAAATACATGGACAGACAGACGGGCGGACGGACGGACATGCTTAGATCGACTTAAAAAGTGATTCTATGCATATTCTCAAAAGGAACCATGGGTCTATCTCGATTCCTTTTGCCTGTTACAAACATATGCACAAAGACATAATACCCTGTACCACAGTGTGGTGAAGGGTATAATTAAAAACTTGTCAAAAATCCCCATGTGATATACAATGAGAACCCAATATACAAAATTAGACATGTTAGGTGGAAAACGCGTTCAAATTCCCAAAAATACAAAATTCTGAGGGGTACCCTTAATTTTGGGTCAATATTTATAATTTTTGGTACGGATATGAGAACCCAAAATGCCAAATTGCAGCCGATTCGGCGGAAAAGCGTGTACAAAATACCCAGAATACCGAATATTGGGAGATGTTCTATAAAATGAGAACCCAAAATATCTTCAACAGACGGACATGCGTAAACCGACATAGAATTTTATTCTGATCGGGAATATATACTTCTCGTGGGGTTTCGAGAGGTTGCAAACGGAATGACAAATTTGATACTAATAATAATTTAAATTTATTTATTTATCTTAATGTATATTTTTTATTTCAAACCAAACAATTTGTTTAAAAATAAATATATTCAAAAAAATATTTTTTTTAACCCATATCTATATTATTTCATCATTTAAAATTTTCTATTCATATCTAAAAACTTACCGAGGTAATAAACCTCGAATATCAAACCAAATGTATGAACATTAAAACAAACAAATATATTTACTACTAGAAATCATTTATTTTCAAGTACAAAACATAACTTATGTTATGGTAACTTATTTTACAACCTTCTTTCTGTTGTTGTTGTTCATTTTTATTACCAGCAAAAAATACGCGCTGCAATGACTATGGAAAAATACCTCAAACTGTATTTTTGGGTTTCTTCACACATTTGTTTATACAATGCATTTTTTACCAATTAAACTTAATTATATATCATAAAAAAATATAATTTTGCTAAACAAAACAATACAATAGAAGCAGCTTTAGACGGATAGATTACGTTAATCAATGGAATGTTGGAACATGGCTGTTTGTATCAGCTATGTTTTGAAAATAAACACTGAATGTACTACATAGGTATCGGTCAAAGAGGAATGCAGATAGGTTGTGATCGAAAGGTTCGTTTATGACAAATGTCGCAAATGATTCTAGTTTTGTTTTATTAATTCAATGGGTTTTTATTAATCTTAAAAACGAACTGACAATCAACAATTAGTTATTTAATTTAATAAAATAATTGTTAAGGAAGGAAAATCTAAAACTATATACAAAACTTGTTTCAAATATTGAGAGGCACCAAAAACATTTTTACAAATATCATCGATTATTTCTTCGATGAATTGTGCATTCCACATCATGGTGAATAGTTGCATTACATACTAACAACTGTCATGCCTCAAATGTATACTAAAATGCGGAAATTTACAATTTTGTTTTATTTTTGTTGTAGTTGTTGTTTGTGATATTTAATAACAAGAAAAAAAGTATTTTATTTCATGAATAAAATTTCATGTTATTTCATGACTGTTATTTAATATAGCGTATTTTGTTTTGTGATTTTGTGGTCGAACTATTTTATTGCACGGTCCAAATAGTATTGAATTGCATGTTATAAAACGCTGGCAAATCAAGTCAAATTAAATTGCATTAGCTCTCTTCATTATTATGCTTATTTTTTTATATTTTATTTTCTGTGCAATTTAACAAAATGTATTTTTGTATTTTATTATTGATAAATTTCAAAATCAATTGAACCTTGTCATCACGCTGACTTTATACTTTCTAATCTAAACATTCAATTGATAAGTTATCAATTGCAATTTGGCATTCTCATTGTTAACATTAGAAAAAATAAAAATAAAATAAATTTTGAAAAATAACTTTGGAACTGTTAAAAGAATATTGTTCTTAATTTAAATAATGAAAATACCTTTTGGTTATTGCATCTAAACTTGGACCGAGATAACCCATTTTGGAACTTGACCTGCCTGCAAACGAAAAAAGCATTTGTGCAAAATATGTTTGTATCTCTATTCTTAGAGTTTTGACCCGATCAAAAATATATATATTAATAGGGAAGGTAATCATTATTTCAATGAGTTACAAACCGAATGACAGATTAACAATACCCTCCATATTATCGTGAAGAGTACAAAACGATAATTCTATTGATTTGTGAATAATTAGATATTAATTATAAATAAACACCATTAGTAGAATTGACTTGTAACGATGACTAAATTTAAAATCCAACCGATTATTTCCTCTAATACACGTTTAAATTCATCTCAATGAACTATAATTTTAAGTGTATTGAAACAAACTTAAAAAATCCCATTTTTGTGCCAAATCATTGTGTTTAAAACTCGGACATTAGCATATGTAATTAATGAAATTCACATTGGCGAAAAATACATCGCAATAAATCTATTAAATCAACACTTGACCCCATGAATCAAGCGACGATTAAAAATACGATGTGGGGATAACATCAAGTAAATATACATTCACCATTTGTAATGATACAAACATACACACCCACACGCACTCGAATCTATGCAGATTTTTGTGTTTATTCCATAAGTCATTGAAATTACCTCTCTGACCACCATATGAATAGTAATGGTCTGATGACAATTAAACTTATTGCCGATGACAGTCTGGTCAATGTAAACATAGCTGCCAAATGTTTGTTATTAAATGGGGGTAAACTATTACTGTATGTATGTATTACTGTGGTCTGGTGTATACGTATGTATTATTTAACTGAAATCTAATAAAATATGATTATGATTTGGGGGACAAGTACTTCGTTGTGGGCGATATAGCACAATTGATGGTATACCGCATTTATATGTTCTTGATATCATAGATTAATTATAACAATGAGACAATTTGTTAAACATATTGTAATGCATACAAGCTAGTTTTGATTCCAATAATATTGACTCCATTAATGTTCGTCACAATTTACGTACGATATAATATTAGTTATTATCAAATCTCCGAGATTGCTCTTAACTAGTTCATCAAAGAAACCTTTTTTTATTATGCTTCCATCGCCTCTTTGTATTTTCTTTATGATTTGCTCCATAATGCTAATATATGTATATTTTAAATTTATATTGCTGCAACATATATAAAAATTATTAATAAGTGTTCACAAATTATGGCTCAAAATAAAGTCCAAACATTCGAGAAGTCACATGTAAAGCCTTTCATAAATAAGGCCCTAGCTGAAATATGCATTTGGAAACCCAACACCCATTTACATGCGAAAACACACAAACACCCATAAATATATTGACTTTAACAAATCATTGTTATTAATATTTTTTGGGTCGAGACGGTTTCAAGTTCACCGGTAAGCCGGCATAATTATGTAATCGCTCTCGCTTGTCCGCAATAATGAGGAGAAGAAAGAGAGAGAGATAGAGTTAAAAATATTGCCAATTGTCACGTTTTATATATGTGTGTCATTTTTAATTTTTTGTTTTCGTTTTCTTTTGCAGAGGTTTGGACTACAAGTTCGAACAGTATCGGCTGAATACGGGTGCAACGGTTACCACAAAAATTGCCAAGGGCGAGGTTAAGGGTGCGAAGCGTATGTCAGTATGGGGTAATTCATACTACAGTTTCGAGGGTATACCATTTGCCAAGCCCCCATTAGGTGAATTACGTTTTAAGGCCCCCGTTGAGGAAGATCCATGGGATGGTGTCTTGGATTGCACGGGCCCAGCTGCGGTGCCTTTCCAAGGCAATATGATTTTTAAGAAGTATAAGGGTTCTGAAGATTGTCTTTATTTGAATGTGTTTACCAATAATGTAAGTTGCCAGTTACACCTACAATATTGAAAATTTTAATTCATTTGCATTTCTTGGCATTGCAGATCACTCCTTCCACCCCACGACCAGTCATGGTTTGGATTTATGGTGGTGGTTTCCAATTGGGTGAAGCCACTCGTGACATGTACAGTCCGGATTATTTCATGTCCAAAGATGTTGTCCTGGTGACCATAGCCTATCGTTTGGGTCCATTCGGTTTCTTAAGCTTAGATGACCCCAATGTAGATGTACCCGGTAATGCTGGTATTAAAGATCAGATAATGGCCTTGAAATGGGTGCAGAAAAACATTTCGGCCTTTGGTGGAGATCCCAATAATGTCACCCTGTTTGGAGAGAGTGCCGGTGGCACTTCCACACATTTGTGTATGGTCAGTGAGCAGTCAAAGGGATTAATACACAAAGCCATTACCATGTCAGGTTCTATGCTGTGCCCATGGGCCATACCACCCAAAAATCAATGGGCCTATCGTTTGGCCAAAGCCTTGGGTTACGAGGGCGAGGAGAAAGATTCGGAAATTTATCAATTCCTAAAAACAGCTTCACCCATTGAAATACAAAAAGCAACTCCCACAATTTTAAGCAAAGAAGAAAAACACAATCGGGTGATGTTTGCTTTTGGACCTGTCATCGAGCCATATCGCACCAAAGACTGTATTATAGCTGACGAACCCCTTGATCTCATGAAAAATACATGGAGCAATGACATACCAATGATCTTGGGTGGCACCAGTTTTGAAGGTCTCCTCTTTTACCCTGAAGTAATGAAACGGAAAGCAACCTTAGATGAGGTGAAGGATTGTGTCAATCTATTGCCACTTGATTTGGGTATCGATAAACGCAGCACAAAGGCCCACGAATTGGGATTGAGTCTAAAGAAGGCTTACTTTGGCGAGGAAGAATGCAGCATAAACACCATTATGAAGTTTTTGGAGGTAAGTTAGAATCACAATGTTCTATTAGCTTCCTACTAATCGCTCTCCCCCGCACAGATTTGTTCCTACAGAGAATTCTGGCATCCCATATATCGCACAGCTCTATATCGCATAAAATATGCCCGTGCCCCCACCTATGTCTATCGTTTCGATTATGACTCCGCCGATTCAAATGCCATACGTCGCCTGTTGTGTGGTGATGCAGTGCGTGGAGCTTGTCATGGCGATGACATGGTTTATTTGTTCCGTTTCATGTTTTCACATCGCATGCCGCTCGATTCACAGGATTGTAAAGTCTCCAAGACCATGATTGATATATGGACAAGTTTTGCCGCAACCAGTGATCCAAATTGTCCATCCTTGGGTGATATCAAATATGAACCATTGAAGCAGAATACAACCACAATTAAATGTCTGAATATTTCCGATAAACTTGACTTTATTGAATTACCCGAATCGAAGAAAATTGAAGGGGTATGGAATAGTTTTTATCCCCAAGGAAAATTATAAGGTTGTTCGGATGTGATTGTTAGTATAACGAGCGAAGAAAGAGAGTTGGCTACCTCATGTAAATAATTGTCATTGTGTATTTAACAAAATTAGGTTAAACAAAGTATTTATTATTTTTTAATTATATGGGATAATTTCCCGTACTCATAAAAATATTTAAAACAAATATTGAAAATTTCATAAAGAACATTGGCTGTCGGAAACTAAGAACAAACATATTTTTCCATACTATGTCAATGGAGATTTGAAAATAATGTTTCTAAATTATTATTAAGCAGCTCCTTATTATTCTTACGATGTGGTGTGGGAAATGTCTATATTTTATAAATTAGCTAATAAATGGGAAAATGTTGTTATTTGTATTATAAATAATTGTTTTTTAATAATAAAATTTAAATTGTTATGTAAAAAAAGTTTTTTATTAGCATTTTCCAGGGTAATTCCAAAAAATGATTCATTCAAAAATGTTCAAATTTTGGATTATATTTTTTATACCCTTCACCACACTGTGGTACAGAGTATTATGTCATTGTGCATATGTTTGTAACAGGCGAAAGGAAACGTATTTTTGTGAGCAAAGAACAGGTCGCTTTTATGATCCGAATTGGACGAAATTTGACACAGTTCATTTATTTGACTTATGGACGAACCCTATTGAAATTGGAGAAAATCAGTTCAAATTTAAATATAGCTTCCATATATATTTTTGTATTTTTGTCCGATTTAATCTAAGTGTACCATTTAGATCAAATCGGACAAAAACTCCCAATTTTTGTCCGATTGAGACGAATTTTGGCACAACGTATGGAATTGAGACTAGGATATAGTGTGTAAAATTTTATTGAAATCGGATCAGATAGAGATATAGCTCCCATATATAGTTTGTCAGATTTTAGGTAAATAGTGCAATATTTGTCCAATTGAGACGAAATTGTGCACAGTGAATGCAATTGCGGAAAGAATGAAGGTTTCTCCGGTCGAAATACAATTTTGGACAACACACATTCCTGCAGCATTCCACGTCTGCTCAATTAAATCCATATTTTTCATGGACGGAAGTGCAATTTGTCAATTCGTCCGATTCCATTTCATTGGTGCTCCAAAGTGTTTGCCCTGTCCTATCCTGTAGATAGCTACAGGATATTTATTGTGCATAAAGCAAATCTTGTATGTACCCAAAGTGGTGAAGGGTATCATATAGTCGGCACCGTCCGACTTTACTACTTTTCTTACCGGTATAAAAAATTGGGACCAACGTTGAAAACTATAAATATGGGATGGATGAATTAGACAAACTTTAAATATAACATTTTCGACGAGTTCAATTTTAATAAACAAGAGGTTGTGACATTGAATAATGATTAGTAAATTCAACAACCAGCACCATTCACAGTGATAATGCGGGTTCGTGGATGAGATAACATTAATTACAACAATTTTCTATAACGCAAACAAAAATTAAATTTGACGTTATTTAGTTAGGACAAAAAACTGGTTGATCAATTCGATGATCAGTGACCGCATCTTGGATGACCGTATTCAAAAAATAATTAATTTAATAAATTCTTGACAATAATGTAGTAATGAAAACAAAAAAGTAGTGTTGGCGGGTTATTTATTTTGTTTTTGCAAAATAGTCAGGCTTAATCCCAGTTTGTTGTTTTTATAAAAAACAACTATTTATTAGTGGGGAATGTATGGCATTGTCCGCCGAGGGGTAAGGCAGGGAAGACTATAGTTTCGGATCTCGCCACTGATCCTCATCAGTTCCCTTAGTTTTTTGTTGGGATATTCTCCCCAGAAGCTATTAATAGCTTCTTTACAAAAAACCTTTCAAACCCAAATGTCTCTTGTGACAATTCGAAGTACTTACGTTACAAGCGATACGACCCCAATGAGAAGTTCGTTTCGTTGGCGCCTGACTTCGTGGCCAACAAGGCATTTACAGACAACTACAATACATTTCCCACTGCTATGTGTCGTCACTTTGTGACGAATGCACATAACTTTGTTGTTGGTATTGCTAGTTAAAGCAATAAACCAAACAGTATGACAGTATGACAATGCCATACATTCCCCACTAATAAATAGTTGTTTTTTATAAAAACAACAAACTGGGATTAAGCCTGACTATTTTGCAAAAACGAAAACAAAAAACATAACATTTCCTTCCTTATTATGAAAATTATTTCTTCGAATCCTCACTTTCAATTTAGATATGCCTATCTACCTACATTAAATCTCAAATATTTCCTTCGAAAACAAATACAGACTTTAAAGAAATATTAAACAGATTTTTGGTATAGAAATAAGTATAAATATTCATAATATAAGTATTCAAAAAATAAACCTCAAAAGTAAATTTCTGAAATAAAAAATACGAAATTTATATTGTTATTTTATTTTTATTGTTACATATTTACTTCTCGTCCCACATTCTAAACTTAAAAGATTTCTAAAAAGTGTCTTTGTTTTTTGTAATTGGCCAATTGATATTAACCACGTCTTATCTGGTGTACAAGAAACTGTCCAAGAATCTTTTGCATTGCCCATAAATTACTATCCAACCGTGGCATTTTGTAAATGTTTCTTAAGGGATTTACTAGTTCCTGATTTTAACATGGGTTAATCTTCTTGCTATTTTTTAACATGTACCTTTTAATTGCTCCTTCTCTTCTAAGGTTTTTACTCCTCAAGGCTAAGTAAATGTCATTGTTAATGAAAGTGAACATGAAATTTCGTTTCTTTTTTGTGTTGTTGTTATGTTCCACACGAAGGTTGAACACTGGCCATTAAGGGTCACTGCTAAAACTGGAATTAATTCCATTAGCATTTTAATTTTAATCAAAAGTTACTTTTACTAAATCAGTTAATTTTTTCTTAGGTACTACATTATCCATGGCCAAAAAAAGTGAAGGAGTTATTTTAAGGGATCTACTTGTACCACACTGGCACATCTGGTACATTTTGCTGTCTGCTAACATTAATCTCATAATTTGTGTTTTACGTTTTTCGTTGTTATTGCCATGCAGATTTGTATGTTCTTCTATTTGTTGTTACCTCTTCTAATATTCAACAACACATTTTGTCACCAGATTTTGTCGACAGGTAAGGACTATTCTATTAAATTTTAATAAAGTTTTAGTTTTTTATTTTGTTATTTTTTTCAAGGCTGAGTATTTCCAACTATGAAGGATAACAGCACCATTCGGTAGTGTTGTTTTTATTTAAACGTAAAAATAAGCCAGTGCCTCATTGGACTTTCGTTTCAGTCTCCGTCATAAAGTAAAGGGTATAATCATTATACCCTACACAACTATGTTGGTCCTAGACACACCTTAAAGTATACTGATCGTCATATCTCGACTAGCTGAGTCGATCTAGACATGTGTGTCCGTCCGTCTGTTAATTATAATTTTAAATATGGTACAGGCCACAGTTAAGGATCAATCGTTATGAAATTTTATATTGTTTAGTATTTCTATTAACCCAAGGGAATATTTATAGAAATATTGATGGGAGTGTTTATAGAAGAGCTGATGGGGGTATTTATAGAAAAATTAAAGGAAATCTTTATAGACGATCTGAGAGTAATTTTTCAACACGAGTTAGAGGGAGTCTTAATATACCAGCTGAAGGCAAATTTTATGGACAAGCTAATGTGTCTTCATAAACGAGCTTAAGGAAATTTCCTGCAATCTGATACTTCTTCTTATACACAAAATATATGTTATTTTCCATCCTGGGAAAATTATCCGCTGTTATTCTGTAATGCGCTATTTCGCGCACAGGAATCCCACATGTGTGTATGTTTTAAGAATAGAGGGTATAAATAGTTCGGCTCTACCAAACACAAAACCACTTTTCCTGGTTTATCGTTAAAATTGCAGTTGTCGGCTTCGACGTTATCCCATCAGTGTTTAATTTAAAATTTGTTACAAATATTTGTATGTGTGTGAAGGTTTTTATATCGTTTGTTGTTGTGTATCCACATTGGTGTTAGAGAAACTCGTTTGTGGTAGTGTCGTTGGTCATTGGTGATGTTTTGTGGAAACCTCTTGCTAACGATGGCCAGAGAATTCAGGAGCAATTCTTCAGGTGTTAAATTGTTAATATGATTTTTTTCTAAAAAAGATTGGTGTTGAAATACGAGCAAATATATCAGATGCTTTTACGATGGGATATAAATTTAAAATGCCAATAGTGTAAAATTTTCAAAATGAAGCAATACAAAAGCAATAATTTTCCTTATGGTAATCATCACTGAATTGGTTTGGATTGATATCTCTTTATGAGAATCACAATCAGTTCCCTTAAGTATTATTATAGCCCAGTTTTGATAGCACTTAATACTGATATAATATTAATTAGCTTTGATTGTAATTCCCCCAACATAACCCCTAAATATATTATTTGTTGCAATAACTGATTTGTAATCTTAAGAAATTCTTTGTTAGTCTCTCACGAATAGTTTTAAGCCATAATTAAAGCAATTAATTAAAATTCTTTGGCAAAATCCTACCATACCTCCACACTCACATATACACAGACACACACGCACACACAAATGGAATTTCATGTTTTGTAAATAAATGCCAAAGGCTTTGCACAGGTAAATTCTTTGTCCTGATCCTTTGTGGTCATAAAATATCCTAACCACACAACTTGCATTTTGTTTGTGTGTGTATGTGCGTGTGTGTTTTACTTTTACAGATACAATTGCGTAAGTGTTTACATACCAGAACGTGTCACTTCTAATAAATTGATTTTGTTCAAACACTTTTTAATAATGAATTAATTTACAAAGTTTTTGTTTACGTGAGTGTGGGTGTGTGTGTGTATGTGTTTATGTTAAATGAAATTAAATTAACCGCAATAACAACATGTTCAAATCAACACAAATACCAATAAAAATTTATATTGTTTTCGACTGTTTGTCTGTCGGCATGTCCTGTGTACAGCTTTCTCTTAATTTTATTTGAAAACGTTTGTACAGCAGC